AGATGATAATTAATTGCAATTCATCAGGTAATACTGGAGCATTGAACGCCTGATGATGACCCGGTGTAAGGGTCGAAACATGTTGCATCTGTAAAAGCATAATAAAAGCAAATATTGATACAGTAGTGTCTTCTCTTTTTTTTTAATACAGAATGTTGTTGCGTAACGGCATACCTTATATACTTTTGTATATCTTTTTTAAGTAATTAAAACTACTCCATGAAGATATAAGGAGAGTACAGCTCCATCATTCTTGACCTCATCAATCGATGGAGGTGATTGGTCAGCTTCTCGCCCTGGCCGCTTTAACTCAGGGAGAAATCTCTCCCAGTATGGGGGTGGGTGGACACCACAGGCGTTCTGGACGCTGGGGAGGACAGGAAAATCTTGCACCTGCCGGGAATCGAAATTCGGTTGTCCAGCCCGCAGCCAGTCGCTGTACCGACTAAGCTCTCCTGTAGTACCCAGACGTAATTTGGGTCCCCTTGTTCGGCCGAACGTTTGCTGCAGTATATTGAATCGGAAGAAATTACTTGGTATAAAACATACTTGGTCTGCGCTTCTGTTAAACTGTGGAAAGGAACTTTATGTAAAATTTTGATTCATCAACAGAGGAACATCTGGCTGCCAGAGTGACGTCTGAAAAGTAAAAATATTGCATTTTATAACGTCACAGTTCTTAATGGCAGGCATTCAGTGCACTGTTTAATCGTGTGAAGAAGACCCGTGTTCAGTGTATGCTGCTGCCTGTGTGAAACACATCCGGCCAATCAACATAATTCCGTTACTTCGAATGGCCACTCTCCCACGAACATGAAAAATACAGTATTACTTCATTATAAAGGAATAATTAGTAGAGGACAAGGTATCCGTTATCGACTATACCCGCTATAACCGAGTGAAGGGGTATTCACGGAAGTACAACACAGAATACATGTAACAAACACAGAAGCACACAAGGTGATTACATAAAGGTTTTATATTTGGGTTATTTTTATTTAAATAGTTTTAGAACTATTAAACATTCTTAGAGCCTCAATATCTCTAAATATTCACAATTATACGTACACAGCCAGATTTTGTCCGCTTACACGAAATCCGTTATATCCGGGTCTGTCATAACATCGGTTTAACCTACAAGTACCTCCATAGAACATAGTCTTTCTTGAGAGGCTAATAATTGCTCAGCTAGTCAAATTACTAGCCAACTGCGGAACACGAGTGTTTTTTTTTCCTCTGCCCTCAAGAGCACGCCATTGTTTCATGTCCCACTGAAAATGAATCCAGTCCACACACTCTCACTTTAATGAAGATTCATTTTAATATTATCCCCCCCACCTATAAGGTAAAAGAGCATACGTGAAATATATAAAATTGTCTCAATCCAACTAAAAACCAACCAACGATCTAACCAACAAACCAACTCCATAACCCTGATACCTGCTTTAGAAATTCAGCTGTTATTTATCTGCATGAAATTCTTTTTGAATCAGGCGAGTTATACATGCGTAACCTGATCGTCTGATTCTTCCTGGTACCTTATAGTACCTTGAAACATAGAGAGAGCCACTTCCTTTCTGGACTTCTCGAATAGTTGTGCATAATCATTCTCCTCACACCGACGCTTAAATAGCCTAATACAGTACGTTTATGCAGCGCCCTTCAATAACACATAAACCGGCCATCCAATCTGCAAACCTACTGCGCGAGGCTTGATGTTGTCATAGCAGGCAAAGTAGAAGAGGGTCCTGAAGATGGAGGCAGCAGTTCCTCCTAAACGCTGGGACCTTCCTTCCTCCTCTCCCCTCGGCGCTATAGCTCAGGGTGAGCTTTGACATCCTGGACAATCTCCTTCCATTCTTCTCTATTCTTCATCTTCGAGGCTGATTATGTTTTCTGAAAATTTAGTTTTGTATGGTGTGAGGCTGTTAGCCTCACGCCCAACCTCCACCCTGGAGGACCAGGGTGGCCCTCTTCTTATGGCGCCTGCCCCTTGACCTGTCCTGCATGAGTGAAACTACCAGTACCTACGCTACCGCCGGCATAGCCCTCAGGGTCTCAGGAGCTCTCAAACACCACCACCATGATACGGTGGAGACATCATCGGTGGGGAAACGCTGGTACCTATTACTCAGACTCTAACACAAATGAGTACTAGGAATATTCCTGGAGCTAAAGGGCGATCAGCGCGTAAGGCTGACAACCTCACTGCCATCTGTGAGCCGATTGTCTAGAAAATGTGGAGGCGTCGACATCTCATAACCCTATGGGCCTCCACGACCTTTATTTACTTTACTTTTCTATGACGTCACCACTAACTTCCCCGAGAAGCGGCGGTCGCTCGGTCGGTATAGTTCGCTTGCGGACTAAAAACTATGGAGTTCTTATATGACGTCACATCTAAAAGACCGTAATCTCCATACACTCTACTGACTGAGCTGATATTGCTGTTTTTTTTTTCGTATGTTTGTATGTGTGTACATAGTTATTTGGTGTCAAGTTCATTCAAACTAAATACTTAACCATCTCAGTTCTACATTAATTTGCCATTGTACGCATAGGATGGCCCCTTCTTCATATGCTTCTGGCGGTAGTGGGTAAAGAGCTTAAAAAACGACAATGGGTGCATCGTTGAACACTACAATCGCGGACTGTAATCACGCTGGAGGCATTCAGAGCTCCGTTGTCCTGCGTTTTGGAAGTCTGCTATACGTGTACGCCATGCAGTTTCAGGGTAAATTCTGAAATGAAAAAGACCAGTGATCCAATTCCTTATACAAAACAAAATAAGAGGAAGAAATAGCGTATATTTTACCTGCGTGAACAGTGGTTGCGAGAATGATGATTTGCAGAAGTGCTTTAGCCATTTCTGTATTATATCGTCTCACACAGCCACTTTCGGATATGTAAGTGAAATTTTGATGACAAAGCGTAGCCTTAAATTCCAGTACAGCAATTTAAAATAACAACTCTAATAGGCACGACTAAGTTCCCACAGTGATGACGTAACAGGAATTTCCATCAACTCATATGTCTCTACAAAAAACATACAATTTACCGTGGAGAGTCGCATCATGTTAACTTACCCCTAAAATCTCTGACATTTTCAAGTTCCTATCCTTTCTATGAGATTTTTCATAAGTGCATAGTATGAAGTCGTCATGTGGGAGCAGGTATGGCCGTCCGCATATTACATCAGGAAAAATATGAATCAATTCAGATGAAATCCGCTGTTGCGATCTGTACCAGAGCATACTGGACCAACTTGACTGTAGTTCGTATCGGTTCAATATGCTCTTTATATGAATGAAACGTACCAAGGCCCAGGACCGAAAAGTGGTTTGGGCTAAAAAAATTTTAAACAATACACACACCAAATAAATATAATAATATAATTCGTCGAGTGAACGAAAAATACAGGCTGTCCCAGATGAGGACGAAACAACGTAAAACAGTGCACCAACTCCGCCGTTAATTTAGCAAACCTAAAAATGTTCAAGAGATAATTTGGAACGAGACGAGCACCACACTCTTCCACGGCGTGCAGCAGAATCCCCCTTCAGTTTTCAGAAGAACCTGCTAGTTCCTGGTGAAAGGGTGAAGGGCGCAAGCGTAGGGCATGCGGAGACTGGTAAAAGGAATGAAGGGGGGTTCCTAGTTAAGGGACATGGCAGTAGTTTCTGACGTTACAGTCCTCCCCCCCTCCCCGAAGGAGACGCCGGGGGTGATTCCATTTACTGGGGCCTCCTGCCTGTTGACGAAACGGAGTGCCAGGCCGTCGTATCGGCGTTGCAGCTCACCTGCTGACAGTCTTGGTTTTAAGTGCTTGCGCTGACTGCGAGAGAACACACCTACATTTCAATATGTGGTGTTGGACGCGCAGCGCAGCCGAACCGTAAGTGGGGCGCCTAGACAAACAGGGATAAGAGTCCAGATAGATCACCCCGCAAATTGGTTGCTACTTGGTAAGTGCCCCGTCGACATGTCCACCATATTCATGATGCAGTAAGCCACCAGTAGACACGGGGGGGGGGGCGTGTGATGCTCGTACCAGGTACTTGAAGGTGCTTCGGACTTGGTCGTATAGAAGGAGGATCTTTTCCACCCTTCGGCGTAAGGCTCTGGAAAAGATGGTAGCACGGGAAGGGACAGCGCAGCCCATCCGAACTAAGGGTGGACCTGCAATATGAGTTGAGGCACGTGAAGGCACACTCAAGATGTCATAACCGTTGAGACAATTCCAATTCATAGGCTCTGGTTACACTTCCGAGCTGGAAAGTTACACAAATAACATATTGCTATAACCTCAGTCATTGGGGATTCCCGCAGACACACACTCACACCAAGGTACAGAAGACATCGGAATAGAAAAGGAAAGTACCTCCAGGCACTAAGCCCAAGGAAACCTACCCATAGAATGGCCGCAAGGCCCACGTACAAGAAAACATATATTGATCTGTATAACGTTCCACCTATACACGTATATGGGAACACAGGAGTCGCAAGGCGCTTATACAAAGTGCCTTTATGCTAGCGTGGTGCATAAGTATACAGAAGAGCCCCATAAATTACCAAAACCATATCACATTTGCATTTACAAACCTAGTGGTAGGCCACTCACGCAGTTTTCAACTGTGAGACGTGAGCGCGGATCCTGCTGCCGCCGTCAGAGTTGGCGCGCTGAACGGAAACCGGAGAGGTAAACTTGACAACGGTAAAGGGTCCCCTTTATCTGGGACAAAGTTTGGCCGCCACGTGTTGGGACGCCTTACTGAGGGGGTAATTCTTAAGCCAAACACTGCTTCCAACGTGAAAAGGAGGGGGTTGGCGGCGTCGGTCGTAAGTTCTGCGCACGGCAGCGTGCGCGAGACGGAGATATCTACGCGCTGCCTCCCAGCGTTCCCGGATGGAGCGGAAATCAGGGGTTTCAGAAAGTTACTCCTTGATGTACCAGAGGTTGGAAAGGTGTGAGTTTGGCGTAAGGGAAAACATAAAACTGAGTGGAGTGGTCTTATGGGACTCGTGGCGAGCCGAATTAAATGCAAACTGAAGCCAGGATAGCTTCTCGTCCCATCGGGAATGGTCTTGATGGTGGTATGCAATCAACGCCGCCCGTTGTGCTGTAACAGCGCCGCCGCAACTGCCACCGGACTAGCATCAGTCTGGAGCGTGAACCTGCGGGAGAAGTCGGCTGTGTGGAGGACCGTGGGGTTGGTAATGGCGAGCTTCAAGCCCTGAAAGGCGAGTTTCTGATCAGGCCCCCACTGAAATTTAACGTATTTCTTTCTGAGTAGGTTAAGGGGGCGGCGCCCTCGGCGAAATGAGGAATAAATTTGTGAAAAAATTCACCATACCAATAAACCTGGCGACCCCTTTAACGTCTCGGGGAGGAGGGAACCTTCTAATGGAGTCGATTCTTCTTGGGTTAACAGAGATACTGGAGGGTCCCACGATGTGGGAAAGGAAAGACAGGTGAGGCGTGGCGAATTTAACTTTGGCGGGATTAACGGTTAATCCTGTCTGGCGCAATCTGAGGAAAACCTCATGCAGATGAAGTATGTGTTCTTCGAAAGAATCACTGTAGACAACCAGATCAAGACAGTGAAATGCAAAGTTGAATTTCAGGTCGGAAAGTATGCCCTCGTGGTACGTGTGGAGCGTATCCCCGCGGCGTGTGGATTCGATAGTCTTGGATACCAATACACCTTTACTGAAAGTAAAAAATACCTGCAGCACGTGACCCGGGGGAACTTGGAAAAAACCACCGGCTTTCGCGAATCCGCACTAAAACGCGCAAAAATGTTATGAGGTTGCTCAGATGCAACCCATCTGTGGGGGAAAGCCCCTCAAACATGCGCTGCACGGGATTCGGTAGCTTGGCGAAAACAAAAGTGGGATTAACCATAACCGGTGGGCAAAGGGGGACCCCTGGAGAAAGTAAATTGGACGACGTAGGTTGACCGTCATTCTGGCTCGGGCCGTCAACAAGCCTACTGGTGGGGTTCAAAGGCTCCTTATCCACATGCCTAGGAAGGTAAAAAGTCGCTTCGAGCCTACCTTGATCGCCTTGAGGTGTTAGTACTTCCATAGGGGCCCGGGGCCGGTCCCGCACGCTCGTCCCTCTGGAGGCTGGTGTTGATGTCGGCTAAGAGGCCGTCCAATTATTCACGCAGTGCTTGGGCAGAAACCTCGAACTCTGGAGCACTTCCCCCAAATTGCAGGAAATGTCGGAGACGAGTACCAAGGTGGGCGAGTCGATGTAGATAGCGAGGGAAATCAAGTGCAATGCGAGAGCTGTCGGTGTTCTCCACCAGTTCATTGATCTGGAGGAGTTTCTCTCGATGCAAGGAAATGGTGGCTGCTGGAGCCTTCAGACATTTCCTACTGCTCAGGAGCTCGATGTTTTCCTCCACATCCCGGGAGGTCCTGAGTAGTGACCTGAGTGCGGTGACATTCAACCGTTCCGTCGAAATCCCCCGAGCTGCCAGCTCATATTGCAGCTCGTCCTTGTGTAGGTACTCGGGCAGTAGAGGCTCAGACGTCATGATCAACACAAAACAGAATAGAAACAGTCAAAACGTCCCAACAAGCAAACCAAAGCACAAATACCCCAAACCACGCTCTGCTACCACTTTTTGAAACGTACCAAGGCCCAGGACCGAAAAGTGGTTTGGGGTAAAAAAAAATTAAACAAATCACACACCAAATAAATATGATAATATAATTGGTCGAGTGAAAGAAAAATACAGGCTGTCCCAGACGAGGACGAAACAACGTAAAACAGTGCACCAACTCCGCCGTTAATTTAGCAAACCTAAAAATGTTCAAGAGATAATTTGGAACGAGACGATCACCACACTCTTCCACGGCGTGCAGTAGAATCCCCTTTCGGTTCTCAGACGAACCTGCTAGTCCCTGGTGAAAGGGTGAAGGGCNAAAAAAAAAATTAAACAAATCACACACCAAATAAATATAATATAATTGGTCGAGTGAAAGAAAAATACAGGCTGTCCCAGATGAGGACGAAACAACGTAAAACAGTGCACCAACTCCGCCGTTAATTTAGCAAACCTAAAAATGTTCAAGAGATAATTTGGAACGAGACGAGCACCACACTCTTCCACGGCGTGCAGCAGAATCCCCCTTCAGTTTTCAGACGAACCTGCTAGTTCCTGGTGAAAGGGTGAAGGGCGCAAGCGTAGGGCAGGCGGAGAGTGGGAAAAGGAATGAAAGGGGGTTCCTAGTTAAGGGACATGCCAGTAGTTTCTGACGTTACATAAAGTTCATATCAATCTTTATCAGCTTTCTTAATTTTCGTACCAAAGCGACTCCTACGTGATGAATATTTCGTTAAAATCTACAAAAACAAAAGCTTCGATATTATGTGTATCTGTCCGACATTAGATATAAAATAATATGGCTCTGAACAGTAGACATGTCCATCTGTTTTAACAAATGTTAAAGCTCCTTTATGCCACTGTAACGCACTGTAAAATGAAGAACATGGAAATAAATAACAAAGAATAATATTTTCATATAATCTTCAAATTAAAAACTATCGCCATTAAAAATTCACAGCCATTTTTGATGTCTTGGATCTGAAATATTTAACGAAGTACGTTGGGGAGATAATGTAGGCCGGAATTACGAAACTTTTTGCTAAATTCGTTACATGCGGAATTCGTATCATTCTCCGTATTCAGCAGTTACCCACAACGCCAGTACAAGTTCATAGTAACAGCAAATGCTAATTTTGTTCCTTCAAACCGAGAAAGTTGACTAAGTCCTGACGCTTTTTACTTATATTCTGCAGATGCTTCATTCGAATATCTGATGGGACGGTGACTGTCCTGACTAAGGGATTTGTGGTTTCTGTCTGGACAGAATATTAAAATTAGCCCGCGACCGTCTTCTTCTAGATTCTTTCAAATTCATTAT